GGTTGGCGTCGGGCCGGTGGCAGTCACTTGCTGCCGTGGACTGGAGCTCTCTTCTGCCTAGTGCTGTGGCTTTCACTCGGGCGATGCTTCGAGGCTTCAGGCTGGGTTCTAGAAGCCCTAACACAGCTAGACTCTAAACCCGAGTGTCGTGAGCGGTGTGTTTCTCCTGTAGGAAAATGGATCACGAATGCCTCCCGAGCACAGGAACACTCCCGTGGGCACGTGGCCACCACGGCCTGCAGACGTGGCGGGTGGCATTTCAGATATGGGGACGTGTTGATTCTCATGAACTACCTGTGAGTTACGGGTCACCCTTCCCAGCCTGCAGAGGGAATGCAGCTCGGTGAGGTTGAGTGGTCTGCCCAGCCGCTCAGACACAGTGCCACGTGGTCCAGGGAAGGGCGCTCCTCCTAGCAGATCTGCAGGGAGAAGCCACCACTGGGAGACCTGAGTGATGTGCTTCCCGGAGTGGGTCTGCGCAGGTCCCCCGGCCTCTTCGCCACTGAAGCCTCTGAAGCAGAGTGTGAGGTCAGAGGACAGACTGGAGTCTGACCAGGGGACACCTTGCAAAGATGGGGCGTCCAAAGGCCCTGGAGAGTGGCCGGCCCAGGCAGAGAGCCGGTGGAGGAGGGTGTGCAGACAGCTTGTGTCAGTCAGAAGTCCCACTGCCTGGGGACCTCTCCCAAGGGGCACGACGGCCTCTGTTCTGGAAGACCGTGCATCACCGGGCCTGGTCTTCCTTTGCAGCTCGGGGGCTTTTCCATGCAAGTTTGCAACAGATGGAGTGGCCTGGGTATTTCCAGGACCACCGTGTTCCTCTCCACCCCCAACCCATGCTCAATCTGCTGGGTTTCAGGCGTCCACCCAGGCACAGCTCCCTCCCAGATGGCTCCCTGGCATCAGACAGCCAGGCATCTGCTTCCCACTCGGGCCCCGGAGCGGGCTTTACCGCCCTCTGCCAGTCGTACCAAAGCCCTGGGTGGATTCTTGACTGCTTTGCTGGCAGGAGGGCTCAGGGCTGGTCGAAGGGGCACCGCTGAGCAGGCCAAACCATGGGTGCCAGATGGGAGAGGGCACAGTTGCTGGCCACCCCAGATGACCCAGGAACAGGCAGGCTGCACTGCGGGGGAGCTGTTAGAGGACTTTGGTTTGGGAGGTTCAGATCCCGACTACCACCTACGAGCTGTGAGTTTAGGCGCACTGTCCCCCCACTCTGGCTCCATTTCCTCATCTGTAACATAAAAACAGATGAATGACCACGAGACTTCGCACGTGCCGAGCACGGTTCTGAACGCGGTTCCGGCCACAGTTCAAGGGCATCTTCCAACAGGTCACAGAAAATGCTCACTATGAAAGAGCTTCGCATGGGTTTTCAGTTTTCTGGCGCTAAAATACACTCATACTTTAATTCCATTTTCCACAAACTTCCAGAAGTCTTGTATATTATCTTCAAATCTTCAAAACAACCCTACCAGGAAAGTACCGCTATTCCCCTACCGTACTGGTGGGAGACGAGGGCACAGGGAAGTGAAGTCGTTTGTCTCAGGCCATAAAGCTCGCAGTAGTGAAGCCGGACTCAAAGTGGGGGGCCCTGAGCTCTGAGCTCCCCACAGGGTGCTTTCAGCTGCAGAAACGTAGCTAGCGTGGAGCCCGATGCCTACGTGGGGATGAGGCTCGAGTTTGTGTTCTTCCTCCGCTCTGTCCCCGTAATGAAAGGCCATCCAGGCTGGCAAGGCCTGCCCGTGGCGGACTGCCAAGGGAGCTGGGGAACAGGGGCTTGTCGCTGCGATTTCCAGTTTGTCGGAGACGGGCGGTAGAGACGTTTACGGTGCTGCCGAGGGACGCTCCTCAAAGCCGAGAGGAAGGACGGTCGAGGAAGGGGCATCAGCGCCGGCCCTGCCTGGCACGCCCGTCCTGCGCGCATCAACTCCCCGCCCAGCCGCAGCTGCAGCCTCTCCACCGGAGCCTCGGCTCGGGCCTGCTGTCGGTGCAGTTGGACTGAGGAGTCTCGGCCTGAAGAACGCGAGCTGGGAAGGGCCCCAGTCCACCTGGTTCTCTCCTGGGCCTCACCAGCATTCCCCTGGCCAGCTGGACTTCTGGGCCAGGGGAGGGGAGTGAGTGCAAAATGGAAAAATGGAAACAAGGACGGGCAAAGGGGCGTGGGGAAGGTGGGAGGGAGAGAAGAGCCCGCGTGGAGATTCAGGTCCGGGGTGTCCTCACCCGCAGTGCCGCCGGGGAGCACGTTCACCCCCACGGGTGAGGGAACAGGCTCAGAGTCCAGGCAATTTTTTCGAGGCCATCAAACTAGGAAACGGCAAGCCAGAGACGAAACCCAGATCTGTCTGCTTAGCCTCCACGCCCTTCCCCACACTCACGCTGTGTAGTTGAGAACTGGGTGGGCTCTGGGCCCAGGTCGCAGCTTCCTGTCCCTGTACAGTACCACGCTCCTGCCCCACCACCCGGGGGACAGCTACTGCCCACTGGGCAGCCGGATCTGGCGTCTCACTGCCAGTGCAGGTCTGAGCTGCGACCAGCGAAGGCCAGTCCTTACTGCCCGGACCGACCTCCCCGAGCCTGGAAGACGCTGCTAGGGACAGAAGTCCCCTGACCTCCAGCAGCGGGGACAGTGTGGGAGGTAGGAAAATGAGAGGCTTTGCTTTCAGACTGGTGTGGGTGTGAGTCTTGGCTCTGCCGAATCCTAGCTCTGTGATTTGGGGCAAGATATCCAAATTTGTTAAGGTTTCAATTTTCTCAACTGTAAACGAAGGGAGTGCTAAATTCAGAGAGCCGCGGGGAAGCGAAAGGAGGTTATCTCAGGACCCGGGGAGGGCTTAGTGACCACCGCTTCTCTTCCAAGACCCTTTTTGACACGGGAGGGAGACACACTCCTTATTTCACTCAGAAAAAGAACCACGGGAGTGAGAGCCTCAGGTTTCTACCTATTCCTTTCCTGTCCCCTCTCCCGTAACACCCCCTCCTCCCCTCTGTCTCCAGTGGCTGGGGGCAGGGTTACTCAGGCCACGGCCTTCAGAGTTACAGGGCTCCGGGCCTCCGTGTCTTCATCTCCGGATGGGGCGGTGACAAGACGCGGGCAGATCTGAAGAACCAGACCCGGTAACCAATGCTTTCCTTCGGTAGAGGAAGAGCAAGGTCCCCCCTTTACACCCCGAGCCTATGGGTGCCCCTCTGCTGCTCCAGGGAGTAGAAGGGTCATTTTGGAAGCTGGTGACCCACCACTTCCCTCCTGACCTATCAGCCTGGGCTGAGGGAAAGGGACGGCGCACCTGGCTAGGAACCCTCTGGGACCATCTCGGCAAGTGGAGATGTGCAGTGCCGTGTGTGTGTGTGTGTGTGTGTGTGTGTGTGTGTGTGTGCGCGTGAGTGTGGCCCCATGCAGGCGGAGCACGGTCAGCCTGGGGTTCCCTTAACTTTGCATTCCCAGTCTCTGGCCTCAGGCTCAAGATGCAGCTGCCACTTGGGTAGAAGGGTCTAGCTCACCCGAGCAGGAGCTCCCAAGGGCAGAGCGGCTCCTAGGCACAGTGTCCCCACAGGGCAGAGCGTCTCCCAGGGCAGAGCATCCCCCCAGGGCAGAGCATCCTCCCAGGGCAGAGCGTCCCCCCAGGGCAGAGCGTCCCCCCAGGGCAGAGCGCCCCCTGTGGCTGCCTCTTACCGATGCACGTGGGCGGGCTGGGCTGCCAGAAGAACCTGTTCTCGATCTTCACACAGCTGATCTCTGCGCTGCCCTGCAGGGCATAGCCAGGGTCACACTGGAACACCGTGGAGTCGCCGGCTTCCCAACTGTCGCCGCTCCGGCTCCCATTCTGCGGGACCCCAGGGTCATTGCAGGACGTCGCCGTGGACACTGGGACACAGAGAAGAGTGGGCGTGTTGCTTAGTTGTCTATCAGAGCACAGTTCCCAGCTCATGACCCTCGCCGACGGCCATGTCCACTGGGGGCCACCATTGCCTCCCCACTGCCATTGTGAGCTGCTGCAGTGCCACCGGCCTCAGCCCCGTTACTGTCACTGCCTCCACCACCACTTGTGATGACATGCTGCCACTCTCACTGGATTGCCACCACCACTTCTACCAGTACCCTTGCCTGTGCCGTCACCGAACTCTCGGGAGAGCCTCGGTTAAGCAGACTACTGTGTTGTGGCTGCAGAACTGACTTCAGTTTGATTTAAGAATACAGGCGTTGTCACACAAAGTGAGGGCGTGACAAGGTAATCAAGCACAACCTCTAAGAGCTCTGTGAAGAAGGGCTGCAGAGGAGTCTGGGAGCGGGTCTGCCTGAAGGCTGAGCCGTGCTGTGAGAGGCAGGGGTCACTGTGTTCTTGTTCTCAGTATAAGCCATCACGGAGCCAATACGTGGAAACTGTGCTCAAAGGAGAATCAGAGACACGGTGGTTCAGATGCTGGATTCCCACATGGCCGACCACGGTTTGAGTCCTTGACCCGGCAGCTTGAAAATCACACTGGGTTTGTGTGTGTGTGTGCTCAAAATCCCAGGAGAGGAAGAGAGGAGAAGGGATTGAAGATTGGTCATCCCCCTGGTGGGGGGGTGATTTCTCACTTTTCCACTCTGTCTCTCTCCAGTGCGTGTATACACCCTATGACAAAAACTTAAAAAAAAAAAAAGAAAAAGAAAAAAAGAAAAATCAGATAATTACAGCGAGTGGCAGAACAGAGTTCAGAACAAACAAGTAGCTAAGAGGTATTAAAAATGTGAAAAACTCGGGCACAATGCCACACCCGGCCTGACCCGGGGCAGGTGTTTAGAAGTGACCGCTCAGGGACGGTGGGAGGGTGAGTGAGTGAAACCTGAGGGAGTGAGTGAGCGAGTGATTGCAGCACGGGAGGTGATGTCAGAGGACGCTCAGGAAAAGGGTTCCGAGGCAGCCGCAACCACCCAGAGCTGTCGTCACTCAGAGGCCAGAGTCAGCAGACCCCGGGAGCCAGAGGTTCTGGAGGCCACAGGATAAACAATGCTTATTTGCCTGGGATGTCAGCTTTTCCTAAAAACTTTGGAAAAAATTACTCTTAAGATGAAGGCATTTATTCTGAAGTAGAATGTCAAATGCACATTAGTTTTTAAGCAAACCCACGAAGCCTCAAAGAGATTTCACACCTTCCTATACCTTCCACGTCCCCTGGGGATCCGTCCTCAGTCTCTTGTGCTGTTTGGAGAACTTCAGGGGGGAAGGTCTGAAAAGCACCAGCCTTGGGCAACTGGACACATTCATGCCACGTCTTGTAAGGCCAAGGACTGGGTGGCCGTGTAGTCATAGTAGCCAACACCTGATGCTCAGTAATAGCTAAGTCATACACCAAAGTACGGCCCATGGACAAAGGTCTCTGTGCCTTTTTTGTAAATAAAGTTTTATTGGGACACAGGCACATTCATTTGTACATCTATCGTCTGGAGCTGCTTTCCCGTTATGATGGCAGAACTGAGTAAGTTGTTATGGACCACAGGGCCCACCAAGCCTGGAGTATTTAGTCTGTGTGGGGAGCCAAAGAGGAGACATGAGGAGTGTGCAGGACGTGACCAGAACAAGACCACGGTCTTTATCCGGACATGGCCTTGGGTGGCTGGATTGTTATGAGCAGAATGTCTTGGGATCGTTTTGAACTGAATGTTCCAAAGTATTGTCATAACAACCTGATGAATTCAGTATGGACTTAAAACCTTCCATCACAGAAGTCTCTGGAGTGTGTAGAAATACTAGCAATAAAGCACACTCGGGGCTGACCAGTACTGACTGGCAGTCCTCCCACTTCTATCCTGTCTTCTTGACTTTCTTTAATCCTCACCCCCAACTCAGGAACTGTTCGCCGTTGGCAGGTCCGACAAGTCTGTTAGAGAAAATGCTGCCAACCCCTGGTATATGGGGTGCCATCTTAAGCCCCCATTTTGAGAATACACTTTGCTTTCCTCCAGCTTGAATGGGCAGCACCGTCAGTGACCCGCTGCACTGTGGTCAGCCACGGTTGTGAGCTCCCGAACGGCAGCTCCCCTGTGCCCTCCGCCATGCCGCTGCACCTGGACAGACGCTGCTGCAGATCTTACGCCAGCTCTAGCTGTCATTCGGCCTGTAGCTCCAGTCTCACCTCCTCAGACGGGTTGATTGATTGATTTTTTAAGTGTTTACCATAGGGCACATGTGCTCACGAGAGAGAGAAAGAGATAGAGAATGTGAGAGATTGCCCTAGGATCAACGTCCATGCCACGATCCCTTCTCTTCCAATCTCCTCTTGGGACTTTTGGCGTGCACACAGACGTGTCCGAAGTCTGGGTCAGAGTCAGGAACCACAGCCGGCTGTGCTGGAGTCTGGCACCTTAACCATCACGTCACCTGCAGGCCACCAGGTGGGCCTTTTGGGTCGCCCTCTGGACTTGCCCCTTGGCCCTCATCCACCGACTGTACCATGTGCTCCTGCGTTGTTCTTTCCGGGGCTCAGGGTGTGATCATCTTGCGAGCTCATTCGCTCGCCTCTGTACTGTGTACCCCTGGAGCATGAGTCGCTGTGAGAACAGAGACCTTGGCTGTCTGGCTCCCAGCTGCATCCCCAGGGCTTAGCGGAGTGCTCAGCACACAATGACGCTCAGTCAATATTTGTCGAATAAATGAACGAACGAACAAATCATCCCCATCTGACACTTGCTGAATTTATTTGTAAAGTCAAATAAGAATCAATCTCCTTCCTTCCCAATTAAAAGCAGACATAGCTTTCATCGCTAGCTTTACAGCACACCGTACACATGTAAATGATTCGCTGGGAGAAAAACAGCTCACTGTCTGAGCAGATGCGAGGGGGTGATTTACACAGGAGGTGATGGAGCCAATGATTAAGGGCCTCGGTGTGGGAATCGGACACGCGGGTTCTGATCCAGGCTGTGCTCCTTATTAACTAGATGACCTTTATAGAAACCTCAGAGCCCACGTCTGCAGCGTGGATTAACAATAACAATGGTACCCACTGCTTAAGGCTGGCGTGGAAATTCCGGGATGAGGAACAGCAGCACAGGCAGGGCACTCGCCGCTGAGACTGGTGGGGACGTTTCCTGCTCACCTTTGTTTTCCTTCTTTTCAGTCTCCCTTTCTCTCGTTAATGCTCCTGAATTTGAGTTGCTGGGCAAGGCCCCTCGGGAAAGGCTGGACCCACGTGACACAGACAGGATGTTGGCTGTTACACAGTCATGTTTACTTAATAAAGCCGAGCCGGCGCTAATCGTCTCTGGCATTTCTGTGCAATCCCCTGTCAAACACACACTATGAAGTTAACATGGGTGAGCCGTTCTCTCCTCTCTAGGGCAGTCCTGGTATTTGCTAACTGATGACAACAACAGGGAAGGTGACCTTTCCCGAACCTCGGTGTCCAGAATACTGGGCCAAGTAGCCAAGGCCTTTCCGGAGCCTAGGCTGGATAGCTTTGACCACTCCACGCTTGGTGCCATGTGGGGCCGGCGAAGCTCTGTGCTGGAGAAAGCCCCTGTTCACATGCCCGTGTCTCCTCCACGTACTCCCGTGCCCACTAAGAGGGGAGGGGCACCTGCATAGGCCACGGGAGAGCCGGGAGGAGAGGCGTGGCCCGACCCTCCAGGAGCTTTATTTTGAGAGGTTTTAGCTATAGGGCGCGTGCGCTCGCCAGAAATACAGAGGAACAGAGAGACAGAAAGCGAGAAATCAACCCCCAGAGGGGATGGTCACGCAGCAATCCTTTCTCCTCCATTCTCCTCTTGGGATCCTCAGCACGCACACACATGTGCCCAGCATGAGTTTAAGCCCGGGTCTGGGACGCGAACCGCGGTCGACTACATGGGGATCGATCTACAACGTGGTTGCACTGTGGGGTGTTCGTTTAGCCACTGTGCCAACTGCTGGTCCCCCTCCAGGAGCTTTAGGTGGGATGGCAAGTGGGTGGCCAACTCTGAGACAGGGTGACAGTCCAGTGTAGGAACGTGCTGAAGAAGGAGAGATCCCTGGCTGGGGCGCTCAGGCAGCCATTTATTCTGGTGGGGGACTAGGCGCGGCATCTGACGTGGACCCTGAAGGGTGAATCGGACTCCACGAGCAGAGCTGGGCAAGGCATGACAAAGCAGCCCAGCGGAGGCACAGACGGGCGAGCGCTTGGGCACTGTGTCCTGCATGGCTAAGCCGAGGACACGCGGAGGTCAGAGAGTGCAAATCTGTGGGGGAATTTGTCAGTACAGTTACGGGCTGCCTTTGTTGTTGTTGTTGTTAAAGCCATACCCATCAGCAGGTGTAGAGAAAATCCACGACTGGCTTTATTCAGGAAAGTCCTTTCCCCAGAGGACAGACTGAGTGGTCTGAGCACCGACCCTTCCCCCTGTGGGAGACCCTTCCCACTGTGGGAGACCCTTCCATTGCCTCTCCAGCAATTTCCAGAATTTGATCCACAGAACAATAGTCTCTTGTGATGGTCTTGAACAAGTCACTTGTGGTCAGCACACTTGGAAACTGGGGAACTTAGTGGAATGTGTGTGCCTACCAGTGGCTCTGGGAGTCCCGGATTACAGGTGAGCTCCGCAGGCCTGTCTCCCCCCGAAGCACCTTCCCAGCACCAGTTGATCACACAGGTCTTTCTTGCAGTACCAATGAACAGTCCTTGGAACTCCCGGACAGGCTAGAAACGCGAGGCTGGGAGCCATGTGTGTGCTCAGTGGACACGTCTCTAAGTGCACGGGGCGTGACCCTGGAGCGCACGTCTGCCCACACACTGTACCTGGCCACCCCAGGACGAAGCGACGAGGATGAGCAACTCTGTGCGGCCCCCGTGCCAGGGCGCCACCTGACCACACCTGGCTGATACACTGGGAGTGAGCATGGGGACAAAGCCACGGCACGGGTGCCACACAGATGCACTCTGATCACCATGGAAACCGATCCCTCCCATGCCCGCCACCTGCTCAGAGTGCAGTAAGGGGGGTAATGCAGATGGCTGCTCTGGCATGAGCCTGAGCAGAATCCCGGACAAAGCCACTTGTTTGGAGAGAGGAGAAGCGGAAGGGGCGTTTTGGAGATGAGGTGTGCGGTCTAGGGCAGCAGGACCAGGCACGACCAGGGACGACCGTCAGCAAACGCTGGGACTTGGGCGTCTGAGCGCCACCGCGTGGCACACTGCTGCGCTGCCCCGCAACGGCTGGCGCAGGGGCCGCGCCAAAGCGGTTCGAGTTTTTTTACCCCTGTCCCCTTGTGTCTGCCCTGTGTCCCTCCGTGCACCCCACGTTTCGGCCACAGGGGTGATTCTCTGCTCCAGAACCCACTCTCCTGCTCCTGTCGCGTCCACATGCTTCTGCACCTAGGAGGCCCTTGCTTCTCCACCCACCAGGCGCCCACAGGTCCTCCCAAGTCCGCAGCGGCACCCATGTGCAGCAGGGGTGACTACTCCCTTCTCAAAACCCCGACTTTTCTTGAGGTCCCGGACTCCAGATAATCTCTTTAAGCTTGGCTCCACCCAAGCCCCTTCCCCACATGAGCTGACCCTGCGAACTCCTGTTCTATTTCCCCTTCAGGTCTGAGCTTGGGCATCATCTTTTCTGGAAGTTCTCCCCTGATGCTCCAGGGTGACGGTCGGCCTGTGTCTCTCCAGCCAACACTTCCCATCTGGTATCGACTGACCCATGAACCTGCTTGTCCTCTCAGATGCTCGAACGCACGCTGCCCACATACCAGGCACACAGCGGGTGCTCAGAGAAAGCCTTCACAGAGATGAAGGGATGGAGGGGAGGAGGGAGTGGAGGGAGGCCGGTGGAGTGCGGCAGGACTGTGGGACGGGTGGTGCGGGGTGGGTGGCAGGGGGCACAGACCTGAGAACTGGATGGCAAAGCCCTGCTTGCTGGTGAAGAAGTCGGTGCTGAACTGCAGGACGACCGAGTTGAAGGTGCTGTGCAGGTCCTTGGGCAGGGCTGGGCCACTCAGCTCCTGCAGCAGAACCCCACTCTCCACGGGCCCGTCCCAGATGCGCAGCACGTCATGCACCTCCTCCGTGTCGAACACCAGGAAGTGCAGCCTGAGCGGGGAGAAGGCAGGTGGTCAGCCAGGCCCAGCCCCTTCTTCCCGGGGCTTCTGGTTGGAGAAGGCCCTGGACCTAGAGGACTTGCAGGAAGAGGGGAAGGCGGCGGCTGGCAGCCCGCTAGTGACTCTGGTGCCAGTCACAGGGACACCCGCAATGGGGACCAGGGTGGGGAGGGGGGGTACATCTGCTTATTGTCAGCTCCGTGCTGTCGGCCAGACCCGCCCTCTCCCCGGCCCTACGCCGCCCACATCTCGCTCTGGAGCCTGTGCCCTCACGTTCTAGACTTGGGGGGCAGTGCTGAGAGGGTGGAACTGGGTTGAATAAAGAATACAGGTTAAGGACCAGCAGGCGGCACAGAGGTAACACAACTGGACCATCGTGGAAAAAGTCCGCGGTTCCAGTCCTGGCCCTCCCTGAGCCTGTGGGGTGTGTACGCGCATGCCCAGTGGCCCAGGCCAGGTGGGACTTGGGGTAGAGCAGGGCATGAAATCCTTGTTGGGGATGCCCATCGGTTTCTCAAAACAAGTATATTATAAAATATGTATCTATATTATAAAATATGTATATGTTTAAGAAAAGACAAGGCTGGCCTTGTAGCTCAGTGGTTAAGCCAGTGCATAGGGAGCGAAATCTCACACGGCTGACCGTGGCTCGAATCCTGGTCCCACTAGCTTGTAAAACATGTCTGGGCTTGTGCGTGTGCATGTGCGTGTGTGTGTGTGCACGCATGTGTGATGAGCTGGAGACGTGGAGGAAAAGGACTGAAGTGTGACCACGTCCCTCCCGGGGTGCTTTCTCTCTCCCCAGCCTCCTCTCCCAAGTGCACATGCCCTCTGGAAATTAAAATAAAAGACAGGAAAGGGGGTGTGGGGGTAGTCTGCGGGTCTCTGAGGGCTTGGCCTAGCTGCCATAGAGGCAGAGGTAAGCCTGTTCTTTGGTCTTGCCCAGCAGAGCTCTGGGAACGCTAGCTACACACAGGCCTGGCTTAGATAACCCTGCAACTTCAGGAGGCCAGGCTGGGGTCTCTGTCGGGGTTGCAGGCCACAGGCAGAGCTCTCAGCGCAAGGCAGCTGGGTAGGAACCAGAATTCCTCAGGGACAAGACGGTTCTGACAGAAACGATGCCTCAGCTATGAGCCTGTGGGACTCTCTCTCTTGGTTAATCAATTTTTTATTCGGGAATAATTTTAGACTTACAGAAATGCTGTAAAGATAATACAGAGAATCCCGTAGACCCTTTGCCATGTCCCCTGTGTTAACATTGTTCAGTTCCGTGGTACATCTGCCACGACTCAGAAACTCACGTTGGTGCCTGACCGAACCCACTCAACCCCAGGCTTCATTTGGATTTCACGTTTCTGTCCCAGGTCCAAATCCATTTATCTCTCTTTTTAAAAATACCTTTGAAATTATAAAAATAAGACATGCACAAGACAGAAAAAGGCAAACACTATACAGATGTCCTGAATTTTTAAAAAGTCTCTCTACAACCGACCAGTTCTCCAAAGCTTTCCACTTATTCTGTAAGATTTGGTGCATGTCCTTGCAGGTTTTTCTTTCCAGGGTACACACAGACATACCACACTCCCAAATGGGACCACATTTTACGTAGCTTTGTGGAATGTTCTTTTTTTACTTAATGCTGTATTATGGACATATTCATTGACTTCACTTTCCTACAAAAATGGACACTGCTGTGTTTTACATCTCACATAAAACTCATCTTTACACAGCTTTGCACACTTCTGTTAACGTCTCAGTCAACTTAGAGAAGAGTGTCGACTTAAAGCATTTTTGCTAAATCCTGCTAAATTCTTCTCTCAAGTGACTGTATCAATGTATAGCCCTACTCACCAATACTGGTGCTACTATTAACTCTCTACTTACCTGCATCAGATACGACGGAACCATAAACACATTCCATATTAAAGTCGTCCCCCATCTGCTAGGCCAAAATGAAATCTCACTGGCATTTTAAATTTAGGCAATTTAGGAAGTTTGCTGTCTTTGCACAAATTTACTGGACATTTGTCTCTCCTCAGACCCTTTATCCATATTAATTAGGTTGTCCTTTTTTTTTTTTTTT